GACAGCTGTGGTCCCTGTGGAGTTCGATGCCGAGTTCTGGGGGCAGACAGTGCCCAAGCTGGAAAAGTTTTACACTGAGGCGGTGATTCCCCACCTGGAAGAGAAGGCAGGTGGCTCTGTCTGGGCCAAGGAGGAGTAGACCTTGCTCGCCTGGATGCTCGCTTGGCTGCACAAACCCAGCTTTGGCCCCTAGCATAGAAATTATATCCAGTTCTGCAGTTCTTGGACCGTTTGCTGAATCTGCCCCAATGCAGCTGCCTTGGGACTGAAACGTCGTACCAGCAGGACCCTGCTTTGGTAAGGGTCCCCACAAATGGTGACCTCTTCCTGCCCCAGCCAGGCCAGCGCATGGGTCTGAGGGCCTTCTCACCCTGTCCCCTCTCAGTGCATCCACAGTTTGACCCAACGGCCCTGCCTGCTGGAAGCTGGCACACCTCTGGATCTGCAGGGGAAGCCAGCGATAGCGCTGTGCTGGAATAAGATTCGTTTTTCTGAAGAAAACTGGATCCTGTGGCACCTCAACTTCTCTCAAGGCTAAATTGGCGAGAGCCAGGAAAAGTTTGACACAGCTTTTGAGCTAAACGGCCTTAAGAGTCAAAGCAAGGGCATGTGGACAAACCTTCCAGCTGTCAGACCTGCTGCATCTTTGGAGTAATCCACGATGCTCACGATGAGCTGGCTGCAGCCTTGGGAAGATGGTACCCATCGAAGAAGTTTTCCCCCAGCCCACGTGCCTCCGGAGGACCTTCCTGTGGAGCATCTCCATGCACTGCAGCAACGTGGGGAGGTGGTCATTGCTCTATTAAATCCAAGATATATTGACCTGCTTGTTCCCTGTTGTTTACGGAGCTCGGTATTTACTGGGGGGTGGATGGGAAATCCCCACAGCAGGTCCCCGCCTAGCCACAGCAGAAGGGGCGCAGGGGAGCACTGGGGTACCAGAGGGCTGCAAGACCCAAGGCCACCAAATTATGCCAAAGCCACACCACTGTTATGGCAAAAAGTACTTTATTATATACATGAGACTCCAGCCACACTCCACAGGGCAAGGACCAGAATTTGCTATTTTACATATCAATACAAAGTAACTATAAAAACATAAAGCACTTTTGGGGCCCAGGCTTTCCACAGGAGGAGAGGCACAGGGACAAGCCTGGGGGGCTGCTGAGTGACAGGGGGCTGCCCCACACCCTCCCTCCCCCCCGAGCTGTGGTCCCACAGTAACCAGATGTGCAAGTAGGAAAGAAGCCAGTTAACAAATGAGTCGTGGGGGCTGTTCCACTCCCCACTGGGGACCGATCCAAGTGTCACCGGGACAGGAGCGAGGTCTGTGTCCTCCAGGGAAAGTGCAGAAGGCACGTGGGCCAGGCTCTTTGGAGGGGCTGTGAGAAGGAGGTTAGTTCCAAGGGTGAGGGCACACACCGCACAGGGGACACGGAGGAGGGGAAAACCTTCCACTGCCAAACTTAACCAGGGGCCTGGAGAGGGCACGTTCCGTGTCTCCAGAGCAGCAGTTGCATAGCAGAAGGGGCTCAGGGCCCACTCTTGACACTTAGGTTTCACTCTACATATCCAGTAAAAAAAGAAAAGAAAAAAACCCAAAACAAAACAGAAAAAAACCCAACTTCTGTGACAGAGGGAGTGCTGGGAAGCAACACCCTCCCAGCTCCTGGCTCCCTCCGATCTTCAGCCTCAGCACCCAGCTGGTGTTGAAGCAGATGCTCCACCAGACAACTGTGCAGGCAGGAGATGGCCACAGGGTACAAGCTTCAGTTGTTTTAAACTGGAAGTAGCAAACATGGAGAGCTAACCAGAGCACTCTCCTGCCACCCTCCTGAAAGGCTCCCAGCCCTGCCATGGCCAGCTCTGAGGAGAACTTCAGTCTCCTACCAGGAATCCCACCCCCATTCACACCAAAGACCTCAGTGCAACTGGAGAACGTGAACCAAGGAGGGCCGCTCAGCAAGAACAGCCGTATAATCGATCATCTGCTAGAGGATGCCTTTGCTGCCCCTGACCCACCAGGACTACGCTGGGGCCACAGGCGGAGCAAAAAAAAACAGGAGCACCATGGGCCAGGGGAAGGACACCCCCCATGCAGCCTACGAGGCTGATCAGCCAGAGATGGACGGCTCCACCAACACCCCCAAGACACACAGTCCCAGTCTGCTTCAGGCGTCAGCAGGACCCATGTCCCTTGCCCTCCTGCCCTGCAGAGCAGCATGCTACGTGGAGGCAGCTTGCCTGGGCTGCACCTACTTCCCAGAGAACTTGGGTCACCAGGGCTTTGCCATCAGAGCCCACCTAAACGTCCGAGGCGAGGCAAGGAAAGGAAAACAGTGAGGAAAATGTAGCAAGGGGTGTCACATCTTGGGATAAGTGTAAGCTTCCACCACACCACAGAAAAACTACTTGGACTAGGTTCTCCCCGGCTGCCCCAGAGGAAAGGCACTGAGCCAGCTTTGTGCGAGGACAGAGATGTTTCCGAGCGACCTAGTGCGTGGCCACCCTCCTTTCCCCCCCACGCCTCTGGGGTAACCAAGCTCCACGGCCAACGTGATCCCTAGCGAGGACACG